TTTGGAAAATGGAACTTAGGTCTTGCGTTATGACATGGTTTTACAAATGTTATCCCAGAAAAAATGCACTTAAAACATGAGATACTTTGAATTTAGTGGCCTGTTCATCTGCATGTGCTCTTTTTTCATCTAAAAGTACTTCACTAAAGCTCCTTCAAACAAGAAAAATCTACGTCTGAAATGCCAGCTTTCAGAGGCATGGAGGAGTAGGTGATTGCTGATTAACATGAGACAAAGCAGCACGTGGGACATGGTTCTCGTAATGCACATGTTCCACTCCACTCACCCAGCTATTGTCTTCGTCATCTGAAATAGGACCCCTTTGTTACAATATATTGGGTATATGTGATTCCAAGTAGAGACTGGCTTCTGTTAGTGGAGTCTTTTTCCTCTGCAAAAGCAAGAAAGGAGAAAGTAGCTAATTTTCAAAGTATGGGCAAAACTTTTTTTGAGGAGTACGTAGTTGAAGAAGTTGGGTTGAACGAAGGACTTGCTGCTGAGTGACTTCCAGAGAACAGATGAGTCTAATGCTGCTACTGAAATTTAGACTCAAAGGATCCCTGCCTGTCATTCTTCAATGCTTTTAGATATGAGAGGCTGAAATTTTCTGTGCCCTTGAAAATTATGGATGCACAGGATTAACCTGAGCCAGAGGCAGTGAAAGCAGAAACTATTCAGGCTCCCCCCCTCCATATTTGTCAATAAACCTCAGTCGTGACCTGTAATAGTCTTGGTATCCCAATCTTGTGGTGTTTGCATAAACACTGTCAGTCAAACATAAATTCTATGCTGGTTTTCTGTCAAGTGGATAAATGACTTTCAGAGTTAGGTTGAGACCACCAAACTCTTTCCATCTGAGTCTTTGTCCAGACTTAAGAAACCTTAAAACTGTAGCAGATTACTATGCCACCACTTACCACGCCACACCTTGCTTAAACATTTCTTGTACTCAGAAATCAATGGCTCCAGTTCTCTTTCTCTGTCATGCAGAAGCTAGGAAGTAACTCTTCCTAGGAGGACACTGTTGCTAAGAAAATCAAAGTAAATCCAGGTTATTGAAAAACTTTAGAGGGCAAGGACTGTGTTTTTGTTCAGTGCTGTGAGTGACCAGCAAAGGAAAGGGATATGTGTTCATATTGGATTAGTCCTACTGCAACAAAAATAACAATAAGCCTTTGGATGCATTGGCAGTAAATACCCGATTCTTCGGTCTTCCCTTCTTTGACTACGATCTGGCTAATTGTCCAGATGTACTTACTCATCTGTTTGACAATAGCCAAGAGGACTCATGTCCTACAGCTTGTCAGGTCTTACAGTCAGACCTGGGTTTTGGTATTTCTTGCGGGTGGCTTGGGCTGATGGGTTTTATCTCCATCGCTTTTATCTCAGTTTGCTCAGGAGGAAAATGTTTGTTCCACGTGAAAGTGGGTGACTATAGCAGTTCTCAGACCATCTCAAAAGCAAGTCCGGTAACATTTAAGGACTTTCTAGAGGCAATTACCAAATTAGTCAGTATACGCAATAGTTTTCAAAGGAATTGGCATAACTGTGTCTTTTCTTATAAAAGCATTAAGCATTCAGACTATATATTGTAAAATGAAGATGAAGTTGTGTTTGTCAAATTACATGTTGTGAGAAGCTACAGAAACTTCAAGACGCATCATCTAGTTTTCTGTGTTCAAAAAAATCAAAGCATTTTTGTAGGAAGGTGGGTATTCTGCTAGGTTATAGTAAGATCCACTGGGCACTAGACACATAAAATAAAACAGAGACATAGATTTGTAGCTGGTAAGCTTTGTTTACTTTAAGTGTTTAAATGAAAAAATGTCTGTATTAAAACACTGGTATTCCAAAAGTGCCTGTTCAACAGTGTGCCAGTTCAGATCGACACATCAGGCGGTGTGTGACTCCCAGCCAAACAGCTTGTTAAATACTTGCAGGACTTCCATAGCGGATCTTGCTTTAATCACATAATTCAAACGTTTCTTTTGTAAGTACAATAGAAGGGCAGGGCTTGTGTTTACAAAGTGTTCAGTATGGAAATCCTGTATTAATTGGGGTACGTTTACTTCGCTTAGGTCAGTGTCCACATAGTAACTCTTTAAATAAAAGGCCTTTTGCTGTTGCTTGTTCCAGAGAGGCCATCACATGCAAAACTAACCCATCATGTACAGAAAATCATGAGGAAATGGCTTTGAGAGATGTGCATTGGAGACAGCAGAGATGTTTCTAGCTAAAGAAGACAACTTTATGGATTATTTTCTCACAGTGGATATAAAAGAATGTAATTTATAAAAAGTAGTTTTATCTCTATGGAAACTACTAAATAAAGAGGCTGTGTCTTTCTCAATCTATTTCCAGAATGATTGGCATGGGCAATGCCAGATGTTGTCTTTTTGTAATATCGCGGATTCGTGTAAGCTGTGCTTTAAATTACTATCTTTCTAAGGCAGCAGCTGTATTTTCTGTGAGTAAACACAATGTGCTTCCACCCAGCCTGGTGCAGGACCTGCGGGGTTTTTTATTAACAGTAAAGCATTTAGAGTTTCACATAAAGGGTGTATAAAAAGGAAAGATAATATTATTACTCGGTGATAATATTATTACTCAGTAATAGGTGACTAGAACTGCGCTCCTCTGAGTTCCTTATTTTGCTGTGCCAGAAAAAGGCCAGAATTAAATTAAACAGAGAATCAGCATTTCCCTCCACAATGAGTTGAAAATTACATGTTGCTTCTATATTCTATGCAGTGAAATCTTTTTTCCTCTTTTTCTTGAATCTTACTTTAAATGTTTAAATCCGGCTATGGTTGAAAATATAGTTTTGCCAGTGTATTGAATACCTGGCAAAAAAGGTGTTTTAGAGCATTTTTAGGTAAATGTAGGTCAACAGAAAGGAATCATACAGTTGGAAATATTTTCCAGTGTTTATGTTCAGATGTTCAGACCTGTCTGGCTCCTCTCTATTTGCATGTGTTGGGGTTATAGGCAGTCCGGCTACATTCCACATTGATTTATATAAATATATTGCAGATTATTAACCTCCAGCCAAATACCAGCAAATTGCACTTTTCAGGAAGGTTTGTGACTTTTCACAGAACTGATTTACTATGTACAGAACATCTATCTTCCGTGTACGCCCCATTAAGGGAATCATAAAGAGAACAGTATTTGTCTTTATGAAAATCTGCCGAGACATTTGCTGTCACAGTCACTATGTTACCATAATAATTTAATTAATATGTGTGCATATGATGATTGCAGATTAAGTACAGACTAGTCTTCTAGTAGAGGTAGGGTGACAGTCTCTCCGTATTCTGTAACTCTGGTTCCCAAATTATTACTCACTGAAAAGCTTCTTTAAGCTGAAAGGAATGTGCATACATCCATTTTCAAAACATGGTGGCTAATAAACAATTTTAAAGTGTCTGACCAAAGATTATTTAGGAAATGCTGTTAAAATGGGACCATGGCCTTAACATGTTAAATCTGTATCATCTCAAGTGAAACATACTGCTTTCTTAAAACTGAATTACAGTCTTCACAGGTAGTTTTGCCAATTCTTATCTTCCCTTCTCTTGTGAAATATTTTGAGATTTAAGGTAAGAAGTAAAAACTCAGTATAAAGTGTTTTCCTAGTCTGTTTGTCAGATGTCCTCTTTGAAAAGCAGTGACCCCCAAGGCTTTGTGTGTGATCTGTTGTCTACAGATCCTGCATATAAAGCCTTTGGTCTTAGGACAAAGGAAAAAATAACTTGATAATGTTATCAGAAATCCTACACTGTGCATAAAGTAAGGAAGCAGTTATTCTAAGGAGGAAAGATACATGTAATAAAATATTGCAACTGCTATGATGATGACCAAAATAAGCAGTGGTGTCAGCACTGGTTTGTTATCAATGAAACATTCTTCAGTTTTACTGTATAGACTATTTTCTCAATAACTGTATTTGCACATTTTTTAAATTACTGTCACCTAATAAAAGTAGTGATTGATTTTCTACCTCACTTCAGAGGGAAAGGCAATCTGATCTGTACAATTTAAAACTAAATTAATAAATACATTCGTAAAGTATGCGAGCAGGGAAATGGTTTCCTCTTGTGATTTTGTAGAAGTGGGACTTGAGGAAGGATAATGAAAGTCACCGGTATAAGTTGAGGTGTGAAGCACAGAAGGATGGGCAGATGTCTGTGAAAAAGATACAACAGTGATTAAAGCTGGTATGGTAGATGAAGTGGAGAAGGTGAGATACATCCTAATTACAAAGAGAAAACAATAGAAAATAGAGTAATCGGATAGGAATGTGACATTATGAAGAGCTTTGCAAATTAGTTTGAATTTGATGCTGTGTAACAAGGTGAAATTATAAAGAAATTACAGTAAAAGAATGTCAGAAAGTGATGAGAGAAGAAAGCTTTCTTAGTAGTGGCATCTTGTGCACAAAGCTTTTTTCCAGACTGTGTCTTGACTCTGAAGGTATTCCTTGTGTCCAGGAACTTGCAAGAGTAATCAGCAAAAACATTCTGTTTCTGCCAAAGGAGATTTAATTATAAAGCTACGTAATGGTGAACATGGGAAGAAACTGAAGGTGCATATACCCTGTATCTTCTTCTCAAAATTCTTTCTCGCATTTCTTTTTATTAGATGGCTGTAAGTGCTTCAGCAGAGAGTGTGGATAAATATCGCAATTCTCTGTATTAACTCTAGTTGCTCTATCCAAAACCCATTTTCTTTCCATGTAATTATTTTACTTTGAACCGCTGATGAATTCTTAATTCCTAATTCTATTTCAGAATCCACACATGAAAGAGAGATAGGATATTACTGATGTATCAGTAATTATCTGATAAATCAAGAGCTCAAGCATTGCTTTACATTTGGAAAGCTTTTACCATTCTATGTACTGTAAGAAATTTAAATAGACATGTATGAGCTGCAAGGTATGTATGTCTGTGCTGGTTCCTGTATCCTTACCTCCTCTTTTCTTTTCCTCCTCTCAGATTGTTTGATGTGTGCACCGTGTCACGAACAGACAGAGAGACGAAGTTAACATTAGTATTTGAACATGTGGATCAAGACTTGACTACTTACTTGGATAAAGTTCCAGAGCCTGGAGTGCCTACTGAAACTATAAAGGTATTTAAGAAGAAAGATTCTGGATATTATTTCAGAAAGTATTAGACGGGAAGAGCAGATAGATCACAAGGACAAACTGCATTTTGATTCCATAGGGTTTTGCTATATCAAAATAACAAAAAAAAGAGTCGTGCCCACCTTGGGACATGAATTGCAGCACAAAGAACTGTATTCACTAACAGATGTAATCTCTTTGTGGAAATGTTGCACTTGGGTGTTTTTTTTCTCTTTTGGATTTATAAATCCCCTGAATCTCTACTGTTTTACCAAACGTGGTGTTCCAAATCATTAAGAATGACCTTTGCTCGCAGCTGTAGGCAGATTATTGCATTATTGTTTATTCCAAGATGACTTGAACCTCCCCTAGAAGGTGTCTGGTAGAGTGCGTGATATTGTTAGAATGGATAAAATAAATCCTGTGCTCCTATCCCCTTCCCTTTGCCTTTAGTTTCCCTAAGAGATTTCTTTTGTTTCATGCCCCTCTTGCCAGAAAGGTTTCTGTACTTTCCAGGAGCAGGAAATGTTCACTGTGGACCTGTGGCGAGCTCTGCAGAGGATGGGCTCAGGGAAGGGAGTAGCCGTGACCAGTTGTTGCAGAAGCTGGGGAGGCTCTCAGTAACTGGAAGGATGATCGTGAACTTTTCCCATCTCATTTTCTGCATCTGTAAGGGAGGACCTCTTCCCGGGATGGGATGTGCTTGCATTATCAGTACTAAAATAAGTATACCAACTCCTCTTCTCTACTGGGAATGTCACAGTGAAGTGCAATTGAGGACCATACATTGAGGATCGTAGCTTGAAATGTTTGACAAAATGTTTATGCCTGGGAAGAGAAGCAGAGAGATTGATATTCCTACGTTTTAACTGTGTCTGTTTAGCATTGCTTTTGATTTTTCTTTTTTCATGAGGAGAAATAATTTATGCTTTCAGAGACGGATTACCCTGCATTTGTAGAAGTACTTTCTGGAAATATGTAGTGTCATATTAGTCTGGCAAAAGTCCTGAGGGAGGAAGAGAAAACATGAAACCTGTCTGAAATTCAGTTGTTTTAATTTTTTTTTTTTATTAACAGCTTCAAGCTTAGGAGTTGTGTGATCTTTCAGTATAAAATTAGACATAAAACTGATAAAGATCTTTTCACTTGTATCAAAGTCACAAATGTGTAACATCAGTCAGTTCCAGCAACCATGTTTTTTAAGCAACTTTAGTGGGTAAAATAAAATTTTTAAAAAATGGATTCAGCTTTGATTCAGTCCCAGCAGAAGACTGGAATGTACCTCTTGCATTTGAACCAAGCATATCATTTTGTGATATTGCTATTAGGGTTCTACTTCCTTCTAGGGCTTTTAAGCTACCTAAGGGAACTCTATTTCAGTGTAACTAACATCGTGAAAATAGCGTGCAAGGTGACTGACATATATATAACTAAATAGATTGAAGTGGGTGGGAACTGAATGACCAAGCCTCTGAAATCTCAGTTTGAAATATCTTTCGAGCTATGTTTCGTTTAAAGCAAATAGAAGAATTGAGCACTGAACTGAAACATTTGTGATTTTCCGAAAGCCTGTTCTAAATTTGCACTAGTAGGCTGTAATACGTATGTGTGAACATACATTGGAGGTTATATACTGGTGAAGGAAATTGTTTGGTTTAATTTAGAAAAGCACTATTCTGTGTATGTGGTTTACTAGTTCAACCCAGCTGATATACCTGATAATTTGGCACAATAAAAGAGAAAAATTTAGCCACATGGAAACAAGGAGGAGCAATTCTGGTCTTTTATGTACAGTCAAGTTCCACTGCAGCCAGTGAAATTAGTGAGTGTAAAATTCAGCTTGTGGTATGTACAACTCTTTTTAAATGTGTGAGGAAAAATGTAAAATTGATGTTTACTTGGTGATCGCTGTTGATTTCAACATTTGCACAGTAGCTGATCTGTATTTCTTGAATTCTGTTTGGCACGGGAAAAAAGAGAGTTGCAGTTAACTTCAGTTGCACCCTGTTTTATATGAGGAAGGGTCTCAAGGCTTATTCCTAATGCCTTTCGATACTTTTCTAATGATACAGTCTTTATGGATGTTCCTGGTAGAAACTGAAACAAAGCATAGTTCTCCTGACTGCAAGGAAATATTGCCATTTTGCAGCAACTGAGCATTTAACCCAGAGCACATACGTTGTTAAATGACTAATCTGACTTTTTATAGTTTGGCTTTTGAGGTTAATATGGATTTGTACTTCATTTATTTTCCAGAATTGCAGACAATTTGTGTAGAGTATTTCCCTTCACCGCTAGCACAGTACAAAACAACTGCCAGTATTGTAAGACCATCTGTTAAAGTTCTGCATGTGTCAGCAACACAGAGGTGCCAAATGAGCCGAGTAAGCTCTGGATAGCTTGAAGTTGAAGGATCTAATATACCTCTTTGGCACCATGGTGTAAACTCAACAGTTGTTAGTGGAATTTGAATGACATAAAATTACTATGAGAGAGGTATCAGCCCCGAAAGATCTTTTCTGTGTGAATTAACTACCATCATTACCTACCAGTCAGTGGAGGGAGACTCAGCTTTTGCTGGTTTGGGGCATGCTGAGGTTTTTAGTTACCAACTAAATAATGTCAGGGAATATAAGTGACACCAGTACCATTTTAAGAATTTCCTTCATGTTTAGCAGATAGTAGTCAGACTGGAGCAGTTCAGAGAAACTAACTGTATCGATCATTTCAACACAACCAAAGCTTTTGTCTTAATGCTGCTCAGCAGTGCCTCACTAATGCCTAAATCCCTGCAGCAGGAGTCACACCAGAGGGTGTTTTAGGAACATACCCACAGGTGCCCATAGAACGATAGAAGAGAGGCAGTTTCCTTTCGAGGCGTTGCCTGGTGGTAGGTGAGTGATACTTACCCAGGATGTAGGGCAGACATGCTCACTTCCCCTCCCTGTTGCTAGAAGCATGAATGCTGTCATCTGTTTCTGTGGCCATAGCTCTGGCTACTAAGTTCTAGGTTATTCTGGACAGAGGTATTTTAAATCTTTTCTGCTGAAGCACTTCCATTGTTTTTTAATAGAGTGAACTTTGGGCTAGAGGGATGGAGCACACGACTCCAAATACTCGTGGACATGGCGTGCACCTTTGAACTATGTCCAAGCCCCTAATCTAACTAATATGTCTTTCTAACTACTGGATTATAGTCCTGCTCACCCTTGCTGGCTTCCTCTGTCAGAACTGATTAATATACGTACCATACGGTATGAATCAGAATCAGCATTAACAACGTCTTCCTTCTTTCCTCTCTACCCATCGTCTCCTCTCTTCTTTTCTTCCTGGGATGCTCTTTAACTTTAGGGCAGTTTATGTGGAAATGGAAGGTATGAGTTCAGTTTCCTTAGGACACAGCTGTTAGTCATGCACGGGTCTTTGGTAATGTTAATGGCGTTAGCAGTTGAGCCTCTGACAGACTTGGCTCATTAGGAACTTTTGTTAGTTGACATAAGGGTGGTGGAAATGGGAATGACACATCTCTGCCACAGAAAGATTTTTTTTTTTTAATAGTTAAGAGGCCACTAAAGCATTTTGATGTGTTAGTCTTTGGGGCTTTAAGCTGGGTGGTCACATTTTGATGTGAGGCTCCTGAGGCTGGCATGGGTTTTTTTGATCCTAAATGATTTGGGTATGGGTATGGTTGTTATAACACTAATTATATTTTTAATATGGAAATCATGTGCATGCAAACAAGTTGATGTTTATTGATTTAAGCCATTGCAATGTATATAACAATATTTAGCTTTAAATTAATATGCACATATAATGGCTTGGTATATAGAGCTGTAAATTAAGTGGATTAGAAATGGCCCTTTGGCATTCCCTCCAGTTATCTTGTTCTGCTGGGCCAAGGGGCCTGTAAAAACGAGAGGAAGGTTACCGAGTTTACCGAAGTTGTTTAATTTTAGTAATGAACAAAGTTAACTTTGCGAGGTAATGTCATTATAAGTAAATTCGTGGCTTCTTGCAATAGCTTTCTCACAACTGAGCAGAACGTAGCCTACCCAAGCTACACGTGCTGTCTGGGCTGTGCCTGTCTCAGTCTGACAGTCAATAGAGGAGGGAACAGAACAAAGGTCTCCGATGTAGCAGGTGCATACGTCAGGGGTGTTAGAAGACCTGGGAATGTCCTTCTCCACCCAGGTCTGTGATCTGTGAATCTTCATGGTATTCCCCCCAGCCTGGAACAGGGCAGCCAGATCACAGAGAGAACAGGGTTTAAGGTATATCCTTTTCTCTGATGTTTCCCGATTCCTCACTGAAGAGAATGGCTTCAGTGGATATCATTCCATATCTCCTTTGCATAGGAAGCCTAGATCTCCATCTGATTCAGGGATCCAGATTTTACTATTTAGATGCCGTAAATTTAGAAAGTACAGCAGTGAACCTAATTTCCTTTTGTGGATTTATCTGATAGTAGCCCATAATTTGAATTTTAAAATATTATCCCCAGTCCTAGAATAAATAAATGTTTCTGTTGCATCCCTGTGCATTTCCTTTAACTTACATTACCTGCTGTCAAACCAGGCAGACCGGTCACATCTTTGCAAGACTCCTAGAAAATTAATATGAAGGTGTTGTTTCTCAGAAAGCAAGCCAGTGTTCAGTGTTGTGAGGTGAGTCATCAGCCATCTGCCATGGTTGTACCTACTCAGTCGATCACGTATGAGATGTGGAGCAGATGTCACACAATCATGCAGTTCTGAAAACAGCACAAGATATTCCAGGAAAAGAGATTCACCAGTACTGCGAGTCTTCAGAGTGTGGCCATATTTGACAATATCAAAGTTAAAAGTCACTAAAAAAAGAGCCTACTCAAACTAATAAGAAAGATACTAAGAGAACAGCTGTTACTAACATTTTCCTGTCAGTACTTTTGTGGTAAAGAAAGAAGCAAAACTTAGTAAGGAATTTAAAGTCCACAAATAATGGATTAGATCTCCAGCTGATACTAAGA